TCTCCACGCTGCACAAACTCCCTGAGCCTTTTCTGATATCATACCTCAGGCACTTCCCTGGGTCCTTCTACTTGGTGTGCTAAGAACAGGCTTGGGGTGGGGAGAGGTTAAAAGCTGTATTTAGCACAGTCTGTGCCTGAAAATAAATAGTGTTATATTAGTCGGAGATATTTTAAAGGTCACCCATCTCCACACGCACGGGCTGGCAAGGTGGTCCCTAACTGGGGTTTGGGGGTGCCACAGCACTACATACCCCAGCCGGCCCTGGCAGTTCTGTATGTAACTTTACTTTCCAAAGCAGCCCCTCAACGAAGAGATGGAAGTCACCATTTTATTAAATAAGAAACAACAATGCTGACCTCTCGTGGCCATACTAGCCATTTGCAGCAAGGTATCAAGTGGCATCTTTGCGCATCAGCTGTGCGCAGCTACCAGGCTCTGCTGGCTACCAGTAGGACTGAGGCTCCCTCGCCCTGGGGAGGAGGCGCGAAGGGAACCGGCACCTCACCCACACACCACCCCTTGAGATGCTCCTCGTAATGGAGGCATCACCTTCCCATTGCCACCAGCTCCACCCCAGTGGTACTGACTGGCTGCTAATTTTGGCCCCAGCTCAGGAAGGTGTCCGTGGTCAGGACCCAACTTGCTGCTATTGCACGGAAATCAAACTGGCTCCACACATTTGCTTGCCTGCTGAACAGTGACCTATCTGAAGGAGAGCGACTAGGGAGCACTGAGCACGGCCAAGTGCTGCTGAAGCTGAACGTACGATTGCAATGCAACAGCAATAGCAGAAAAAGCACTAGGACAACAGGTTATAACAAGATAAAATTCTACCATGAGTTGATGTAAAATACTTTACAGAAAATCTTCTTGGTCATTTATATGTGGCAGTGCCACCCAAACAACAAACTGCAGCTTTTTGTGACATACCACATTTTTAATTCACTTCTGAACTTTGCTTTTTTCTCTGCCTACTAATGCCTGTGGGACTAAGTCTAACATTTCAGGCCCTCTGAATAGCTCTTAGACAGCACTTTCACTGGGGGGGGGGAACAAACCGACCTTCTACAATTAGAAAGCTTCTTCCAGTCCCTGAAACATGGGCATCTGCAGAGATGATTGAGAACAGAGTGGATGAAAGCTCCTCACAATGGATATTTCTTAAGTCTGCACAAGTGAACCATAACCAAAAATAAAACTAAAAGCAAAACGAAGAAACCTAGCAAATGTCGGTGCCAGTTAAATAGCTCCTTTCAGCAGTCTGGTGGTTTGGCTTACTTAAGTGCTACCCATGAAGCGAGCTTTGTCGGTGAGGGATCAGAAACCTGTTATGAACCGCCTGACGAAGCAGAGGGGTACCAAGTGGCAGGTGCCACGGCGCTGCAGCGGGAATGCTCAGTTGCCACATCGAGGCCATCATATTTTAACAAGGCAAGACCCTGCCACATGTCTCTAAATCATCTCCAACCCTGGAGACCACACAGTCTGAAATGGGGTTGATATGTCCAAGGACTTGTCTCTGCTTCAGAGCTGGGGGTTTTGGTACCCTCTCCGTGAAAGCAATCGTGTTTCTGAAGGACCAAGGTCACCTCAAAGGTCGCTTGCCATGACCTGTTTTCAGTGGTCAAATGTCACACCCTGCATATGTTATGAAGATAGCCGAAGATAAGAGTTTATGAAACAGTGGCTGGACACCTAAAGCAAAGAGGGGAGGTGCATTTACATTAGCCAGTGAGGAGTGGACGGCTCTGGAAAAGGACGACTTTCACCTTGCCTTCCTCTCCCTCATCTCTGCCACAGTCACGGCCCTGTGTCCACAATGGACAACAGTATGTTGTGCCCTGGAGACAGCTTCGCATCTGATTTGTTGGTGGCAGTGAGGATGTTCATCATGCACCCACTGGCGATGGGTGCAAGCTGGGATCCTGAGGGCAGACACAGCCAGCTCAGCACAGGAGCAGCTCTGCTGAAGGTGGTGGCCCTGCTGCACCCAGAAGAGCCTGAAAACTGTGACTCATGGAGCAAACCCTCCAGCACTGCCTCCCCCTGCAGTTAGTCCCATCACCGGCAGTGGGGGCAGACCCCCACGCACCGCACTCCCTGCCAAGGCTTTCATTGATTTAGGACCTGGTCCAAAGAGGGTAAAGGTGCTCCTCACTTCCTGCAAGCTTTATAGCAGGCCCTCAAATGGCATAGCCTGGAGCTGTGAGAGCTTGGTCCTGCCCATGGCCAGGCACCCTCGCTTCTCGCTGCAGTCACTCAGAGCCGAGGGGGTTCTGGCCCCTCACCCCCATCTACATTGCCAGCCTGCACTCCCAGTACAAGATGGCTTAGCTCCCGGATGAATACCTGCTGTATGCGAGAGATATGAGTCACCCCTGATGAAGTGATTCCCCCCCCCCCCCCCCTTTTTTTTTTGTGGGTGCTTTGAAGAAGTTATTTGTATTA